TACTACTCCTCCTACTCCTACTCCTACTCCTACTCCTAGTCCTACTCCTACTCCTACTCCTACTCCTACTCCTACTCCTACTCCTCCTACTACTACTACTACTACTGCTACTACTGCTACTACTACTACCACCACCACTACTACTACTACTGCTACGACTACGACGACGACGACTACTACTACCACCACCACCACCACCACTACCCCTACCCCTACCCCTACCCCTACCCCTACTACTACTACTACTACTACTACCACCACTCCTACTCCCACTCCTACGCCTACCCGGCCTACTCCGACTTCGACTCCTCATAAGCTTTTGCAGACAGAAGCTTTTACACACGGAAGCTTTTACACACAAATACTTTTACACACAGGCGCTTTTACACACAGGCGCTTTTACACCAGAAGCTTTTCCACACAGAAGCTTTTACACACAGAGGCTTTTCCGGATTCCGTCCAAAAAGCTCTCCCCCAGCAGAGTGAAGGATTTTTGGTGTTTTTTACACACACAAGCCTTTACACACAAAAGCTTCTACACACAAAAGCTTTCACACGCAGAAGCTTTTACACACAGAAGTGAAGCTTTTACACACAGAACCTTTTGCACACAGAAGCTTTTACACTCAAAAGCTTTTACTCACAGACACTTTTCCACACAGAACCTTTTACACACAGACGCTTTTAGACACAGACGCTTTTACAGACAGATGCTTTTACACACCGAAGCTGCTACACACGGAAGCTTTTACACGCAGAAACTTTTACACACAGAAGCTTTTACACACAGAAGCTGCTACACACGGAAGCTTTTACACGCAGAAACTTTTACACACAGAAGCTTTTACACACAGAAGCTTTTACACACAGAAGCTTTTACACACAGAAGCTTTTACACACAGAATCTTTATACTCAAAAGCTTTTACACGCAGAAACTTTTACACACAGAAGCTTTTTCAGACAGATGCTTTTACACACAGAAGCTGCTACACACGGAAGCTTTTACACACAGAAGCTTTTACACACAGACGTTTTTACAGACAGATGCTTTTACACACAGAAGCTGCTACACACAGAAGCTTTTACACACAGATTTTTTTACACACAGAAGCTTTACACTCAAAAGCTTTTACACGCAGAAGCTTTTACACACAGAAGCTTTTACAGACAGATGCTTTTACACACAGAAGCTGCTACACACGGAAGCTTTTACACACAGAAGCTTTTACACACAGACGCTTTTACACAGAGAAGCGTTTTAGACACAGCAGCTTCTACACACAGACGCTTTTACACACAGAAGCTGTACATTTTGACTTTGAAATGTGCTTCGCGCCACAACGGCGTGCAATTTTTCATCTCTCATCTGGCCAGCTGGCTCCGCACCCGCCGCTTTAGCGAGCCTACTTTTCGACCCTCCGGAGCCACAAATCATTGGAAAACCACAGTGTTTCGCGACTTTCCTACCTTTTCGCGCATCTGCATCTTCTTTCTTCTGACTCTTTCTCTTCTACTCTTCTCTCTTCTAATCTTTCTCTTCTCTCTGCCTCTGCCCTGCTCTGCTTTTCATCTGTCCATATTGTCGGAAGTTTGACTTCTAAACTTCCTTCGATTAGTTATATTAGGCATGTTATGCCAGGCAGTTCTAGATTTTTGGAAAATCTTCTCGGACGTCTCTTTCAGGTTTTGGTCACTGCCGCAAAGGGGGAGGCCATGGGCCACGGAAAGCCAGATTAACAAAAGGAAAAACATGGAAAAGCGATGAAATAGGAAAAAGCGAGGTACTGATAGCCCGCGAGGAAACGGGTGACGAGGATAGTCACGTCATGATGCGTTGAGATGTTTTTGGCAGTTTGGCAGCTCAATTTACAATCAGGTGCGCTGTATTCAGCCTGAATCCAAAAACTGTCTTGGAGTCTTGGAACATACAAGACTACTACAAACACAAGATAGTGTATGCCAGAAAGGATTAGTTCTGACAGCCAAAGAAGTGGCGCGTCGCTGGAGCTGCAAAATAGCAAGACTTCAAGCATCGTGAGTGCGTCTGCTACACACACAAAAGTTGCAAAGGCTTTCAATTTGTCCAAAACAGAGAAGACATGCAACTATTTTAGTTGTTGAAATTTAGTGACAGCTTCAAGCTTCAATGTCCGGCAAGACTGAGGTGCGAACGGTATCCCTCTGAGCCTCAACGAAGTGGTTCACAAGCATGATACAAAATATTTCGCAATCCATGTCGACCATCACTCTAGGGTCTAGGGCCTTTTTCTTGGACGTCTGCCAGCTGCCGCAAAAGAAGTGTGGCACCTTGCGACCATCATTGCCATACACACCAGAAGCAGCAACCGATGCATTAATTTATCCGTGTTCCCAAATTACTAGAAAGGAAATGTAAAGGATCCAGAGGACCTTTCTTGGCCCGAGGAGGCTGTGGAACCGAGAATGTGTCAAGGGCCCTTACTGAACTTGTCCATGTCTTTGTACAAGGAAGTCGAAGCGAGAAACTTCCAAGTCATGGAAAAAATGGTGGCGTATAGTGCCCAGCTTGCAAATGAAGAGACATGCACGAAATACTCTTTTCAACTCATCTGTAAGCAAAATTAAGCAAGTACGAGGTACGAGAACTACCCTGCTTTTTTTGGTTCGGATAGGTCGCTTTGCAATAAGGGATCTTCGCTCTGGGGCCGCGGATGTGCTCAGAATAAATAATGGGGCCATCGTCAAGAATGCCCAAGTTGCAGCTGGCAGGCAGATTCTTGGGATAAACCGATAAACCCTTGATTCTGCAGTTCTGAGAAGTTCGATTGTGTGATGAATATGCCAAGAATGTGCCTGGCTCCTGCTACCTGCGCAGTTCCATTGTGAAATAGAAGCCGGTCAGTAAATAGATGGAAATACATTGTGACGGCTATGCTGAGGGTCTTCTCCGTCTTGCTGAACTTGCAATCAATCAAACAGTCGATTTGGCACCCAATCAATCAACCAGTCAATGCCGCAACCAATCGGTCAAGCCATCGACCAATCAATGCACGGATGAATTAATCATCCAAATCAATGCGTCAATGACAGAGTCAATCGATGAGTCAATCAGTTTGTGAATCAATCAAACCACCAAGAATCAATCAGTCTAACGAACCGGACCCATCATACGACGTTCTTCCTCAAGACTGTAGGGGGTTTCCGTTCGCACTGTGGCGATTTGCTGGGAGACTTCCGCTGTGCTTGTCCGGGCACAACCGGCTTCTTTAAGGAAGTCTTTCCGGATTCGTTGAGCTGGCAGCTGCAAAATGGTACTCTCCCTGGTTCCCGGCCTGCTTGAAGACGAAAGATACTGTGGCGCAGAACCTTAGGCAAAGCCACTTACCGTCACCTACCACACTTTTGGCCTCTTGCCATTTATTGAAGTGACTGAAGACATGTTGCTTGTCTTTACTGCATCACAAACAAGTGGGAATGCCTAGGCTGATACTCAGTCCGAGCGAAGGTTGATCAGCAGCAGCAGCAGCTCTTGGGAACAAGAGCTGATTGGCTTTTGTTTGTAATGCTCTATCACACCCATAAATCTAGGCAACAGTAACTTTATTTGGTTACTGTATGTTTTCTTTGTGGTCCAAATGTCCACATGGTACTGTGTTAGGTTTTTTTTTGGCATCGCACAAGCCGCAGCTGCAGCTGAGTGCAGAATCCAACTGTTAGCTATCTGCTTCGCAGAATGAAACTGAACCTGTGAACCCTGCAGCACCATGACTTTTGGTCTGAATCACGGAATAGGAGGGAAAAATCAAATTATCAAACAAGGGGGGAGGAAAGCAAAAAAGGAGCAAAAGGGGTGTAGACATCTATTATTTCTGAGGCCAGGCCGGGAATGGGCCCGCTTTCGATGACGAAACTTTCGTTGACGAAGCTTTCGGTGATGAAACTTTCGGTGAAGAGGTGTGCGATGGAGTATCGGGAAAAAATGTTGAGTCTTTGTTGGGCCAATTGGTTTACTAAATTTCTTTGAAGAATGTTGTTGATGTCAAACTGATCTACGTGACCACTTTCTCTATAAGCATCTGCATAGGTTTCGATTAGCCAGCGAGCTCTGCGTTTGCCTACTCGTCCTGCATGTTCAGTTCTAGGTATTGGCGAATTAGGTAGAAAAAGGACCTGACGCATGGGATCTTGTGAGTCTGCTAGACTGATGCGGCTAAGGGCTGAATTGCGCTTTTCAACCATAGTTTTGAGAATTCTATAGCTGCTACACCATAATGAATTTTGATAAATTCTTTTGCCGATGCATTGGTCATTGTTTTGTCAACACTTGCGGGTGGGATATGTAGAATTCTCCGATATCCTTTGATCTGAAAAGCATCTATCGATGAAGTTCTGACTGGTTAAGCTGGATAGTTTCCAACCCATGTTGCAAGTGCGGATTGAGCCTGCGATGCGGTTCATGACTTCTTGTTTATTATCAACCTAATCTGTAAGGAGGATAGGGAGATATGTGGTTGTATTACGTTTCCGGGGGTACGAGGGATCCATCTGCAAATTTGATCGAAGATTGCTTTCGGTTCAAGGCTAAGTTGATGCATTTATCCAGATTTAGTTCCATATTATAATAACGGGATTCCGTTTGTATTTCTTTCAGTAGTAGGTTGATATGGTGTAGTTGCCAAAAATCAGCGTGTCGTCATTATAAAGAACCTCAGGGTATTGAATTCCTTCGATTGGTTCTCGTTGTTTTGGTGTGTTGAGGCGTGCTTTGATGTCGCTAAACATGGCTGCCATAAGGAGAACAAATAGATAAGGTGATAAAGTGCATCCCTGTCTTATTCCTGAACGTTGAAATAGATATTCAAACTCTGTGTGTCCAGCAGATAAACGAAACTGTGGGCTGTCGTAAATGTGTGTGATAGCTTGTGACAGCCGTGGTGGAACTTGAAGTCCTCTCAATACCTGAAGTATTTTTTGTTGGTCAACTTTGTCAAATGCCATCTTCCAATCTAGTAGTGTGATAGCTATATAGATTAGATTGGTCCCTGTGCCTTCTGAAATATCCATGAGTCTGCGCGCTATAAAAATGGTTTGTGAAGTGGATTTCTTTGGCTTGAAGCCAAATTGACAGGCTTGTACCCAGGATTCATAAGTTTGCAATAGACGATTTTTAATCATCGCAACAAATAATTTGCACAGAGCTTGTAAGTAGTGCTATAAGGTGGTAATTCTGCATTTTGGTGGCATCTCCTTTTAAAAATTGAAAATACGTTTGCCAATTTCAGACTTTCTAGATATACATCGCTGTCAAGAATATTGTTGTATGTATCTAAGAGCTTGCCTCAATTATCCTGGTCTAACCATTTGATGAGTTCTGCTGTACAATTGTCGGGTCCTGGCGCTTTGTGCATCGATGACTTTAAATTTGTTCAGTTCCTGTAGTGAAAAGTTGGAATCGATCATCGTGTTGCCTCTGTTGTACAACTTTTGATTTTCGTAATCGTAATCAGCATTTACCTCTGTATGGTTCGGCGGTGCCCAGCGTACTTCAGAAAGGCATGTGGTTGTTTCTGCTGCAAAATCGGATTCTTTAATAATATTACCTTCTGCATTTCTAAATTTGACTCGTTTGGGTTAAAATGTTTGAGCCCGTCACATGTATAACCCTGCGCATCGGCTGCTTGTGGCTGTTCAAGAAGCATGGTTTCCCGGTTTTTTCTTGCCATCCTTTTGATTATAGTGACAGAGTTTGGTTTCTAGCGTAGTCTCCGGCCGCGATAGCCACCTTTTTTCCTTCAATAAGTTTCCACGTGTCGGCAGAAATGTAATGTAATCCTTCTCTTGTCTTGTGGGGATTTTTTTACAGTGTGCTTTCCACCAGTTGAAGTGATCGTGCGAAATCAGTTCTTGGATCCGATCTCGCCGTTGTGCCCAAATATTGTGGCACTGCTTGGTTATAGAGATCTATCTCTTGCTCAGAAGGTTTCCTAGACCTTGGCCGTGAATCTTTTTTGGTTCTATTATGTTTTGCTTTTGAGGTAGCGATCTGCAAAGAATGGCCTGAGTCAAGAAGCGTATCCTGTATATTTATGATCAAGGGTTGTTTGAAGGTCAAACTTCCGTATTACGGATCTTTGGAATGTCACAGGACAGGAATGTCAAAGCAAAGGGATGTCAAAGTAAAGTTAAGGGATGCCACAGCAAAGGGATGTCAGAGCAAAGAGGTGCCAAAGCCAAGGGATGTCAAAGCAAAGGGATGTCAAAGCAAAGGGATGTCAAAGTAAAGTTAAGGGATGCCAAAGCAAAGGGATGTCAGAGCAAAGGGATGTCAAAGCAAAGGGATGTCAAAGCAAAGGGATGTCAAAGCAAAGGGATGTCAGAGCAAAGGGGTGCCAAAGCCAAGGGATGTCAAAGCAAAGGGATGTCAAAGCAAAGGGATGTCAAAGTAAAGTTAAGGGATGCTTAAAGCAAAGGGATGTCAGAGCAAAGGGATGTCAAAGCAAAGGGATGTCACAGCAAAGGGATGTCAGAGCAAAGGGATGTCAAAGCAAAGGTTGGTTGGTTGGTTGGTTGGTTGAAGCGACTCATGGCAGTAGCCACAGTCCCAGGACACAACCTCCTCCGGCAGATCTCAGGGTCAGCTCCGAAGACGTCATCGCAGACCCTCCCCGCCAGTTTCTGGTGGTCCGTTAAAAGCAAACCGGACCAAAAAGAACAGAACCCGATGACTGCATCCCAGAAGCCACCTGCACACACAGCAAGTCCACTTTTTCAAAAAAAACCAAGGCGGTGTCAGACACGGATTCATACATCGTCATCGTCCGCAATGGACAAGGCTTCACGAGCCCCTCGGACAGCGACATCACCAAAGTCTTCAGTGGGAATCGCAGCAGGCTCTGAGTTAGGGCCCACTCCCAGTTCACCCAAGACCTGTTCAACAAGACCCCGTTCAGCAAATGCTGGATGCATTACTGTAGCTGCACCGGTGCGATACATGTGCAAGCTGAACATCTGGGGTAAAGAAAACAAGGTGGGTGAAAAGGAAACCTTCCAAACAATCTCTCGACTTGGTCAACGCTGGCAGCAGCCCTTAATCCTCTGACATACAAACCTGGTGGTTGCCGGGGCGTCAAAGGATTCACTGATGCACTGGTTGTTGCCGTCTTGGGGTTCTGGTGCGACGTGGCCTCTCTTGACCAACTGCTGGAGCACTTGGTCGCCCCTGCCCCCTGAAAGATAGGTCGGCGAGTTGGAGCAGCAGCTGTTTGTCCTGGAGACTGAGCAGCACGCGGCCCAACTTGCCCAACACCTCTGGCTTGTTGCGACCGCACAGGCGCCGCACCACCCGCCCTGGCCCTTGTCGGACTGGAACGGCCAGGCCGACCACCTAGCAGCGCACTTCTCCGAGCCCTGGATCTGGACCGTCGAACATTGCCATCAGCACTTCGCCTGGACGACTGCCTTGTAGAAGCGTCAGGTTGCCTTTGCTGCCGAGGTGGGCCAACATCCGGACGCGCCCCTGACACAGCGACAGGTGGACGGGTCGAAGGAGGAGGTCCTGGCATTGGCTGACCATATGTGGAGCAACCCATCAAGTTCACACCGGGCCCACCACAAGCTCCCGGCCATGTTTGTCTTGCAGGATCAAACACAGCCCCAGATGCGGCGCAAGGTTGAGGCACCAAACCATGCGGTGTGACCCAATTTGGTTGCCAAACTTGATTGTAAGGGCTGGCAGGCGGTCCATTGGATGGAGGCAGGAGCTGATCCAAAGAACGCTCTGCGACACTCAAAGCAACACCCAGCGCTCTGCGCGCATGGTGACGCATGTTGTCGTCCATGGCCACAGCAGGTGAAGCGCACAAGAATGCACCCACAACCGTGAGAAGGAATGCCATGGCGCCAGCACAAACAGTTCGCAGCCGTGTCAGAAACCAAAAGCTTTTCCAGGAAGACAACAAATAAATTTAGCTCAGGATTGCACTCAAAAAAGGGACAGGAATGCACCGATGATTTAATCGACCAGCAACCTGTGAGGAACCAGATGGAAAAAGAGAATATGGCGAATAAAATTGGCAGGCGCCAATAATATTCAACCCCAGCCAGGCCAAATCGATGCGGGAGGACCAGCAACAGGGCGAGCAACGCAAAAGAGGGAGCAGGAAACAGAACACAAAAAGAAAAAGGAGAAAAGGGGGAAAGAAAGAGAAAAAAAAAGAGAGAACACAAAAAGAAAAAAGGGAGACAGAAAGAAGCACGAAGAACCAAACACAACAAAAACAACAACAAAGGAACAAAAAAAAGAAGAAAGAAGAAAAAAAAGAGAAAAAAAACGAACAAACACGTCAACAAGGAAGAGAAAGGACCAG